ATCAGCATGGGTGACTGCGTGAACCACCTGCAGATCCCCACAAAATTCACTGATCCAAAAGCAAAGCGAAGAAGCTGTGAATGACTAGGGAGTGACCCCAAAAACACTTCCTGTTTTTTTGTAGAACAGCCTCCTACAGCCCCCGGCCCTGAGCCAGCTCCACACACTACGCATGCCCCACAAGGATGCAGCTGGTCCTTCTCTAGGAACACCAGTGTCGTGTCCGGGGCGATCCGGCAGCCCTGTAGTCACAGGACTTACATGCGGTGGAGCTGGGATCTGAACCAAGGTCAGTGAATCCAAGAAGGTGTCTCCCGTGCCAGGATCCCTGTGTATGGCTTAAGCAACAGCTGCTTTTTCGAGGCAAGCATCCCTCCAAGAAGTAAGGCGGTCATGCTTCTCACAGGGTTAATCCAGTAACTTCCCCTGTTGCTCCAGAGTTACTGGCTTTGAAGTAGTGAGGGAGTTTCAGGTGCAGGGTAGAAAATTGCGCAGAAAGTTCTAGAAAGATTAAAGATAGCGGCATCCCTAATAATAGAGGGGGGGGAGGCACCCAAATGCCATATATACACTCTCCTCGAGCCATCCAAGATGTCAGAAGAAAAGAACGGGGAGAAGGTGGCCCTGGATCAAGAAGCTGGACACCCAAAAGGCAGTAAATCATTGGTTTGAGGAGAGGCCCAAGGATTTTGACACTGGCCAGGACATCTCACCCCAAAGCTCTCGTTACTTTTGTTAAAGCCAGCCCCGCTGATGGGGCTACAGCAGCCTAGGGTACCCTCCACAAGGCACTGCCAGCACCACCACCACCCAGGCCAGTCAGGCCGTGCAGCCAGGCCAGCTGCTTGGTGATGAAGTTGGCCTCATGTGACCCCACTGTTCTCTGAGCAGGTGTCAGCACCGCCACCATGTCGCTGGAGAGCAGAATGACTCAGCTTAGGGTCTGCATTGCGACGGGGACCCCACATTCCAAACACTGCACTATGGGAAAATGGGGCTCCCTGCAGTGCCAACAGGGTGCCACCATGGGCTTCCTCCGGGTGAACCAGGCAGACTCAGGCACCCAGGTTGAGCTGGTGGGAGCCCTCAGCACCCCCAGTAGCAGGGACGGAAGTGAGATCTGCTGTCCCGGGAGGCCCAGTCCTGGGTCCTGATGGTATATCATCTAGCTGGGAAAGGCCAAAGCCACAGAACTCACCAATAAGCTGGGACAAAAATGTAACGCTGGGCTTTCTGTACATTTCTTCTACACATGTACCTGCACACATGCACACACCTACCCAGCCCCCTACACACACCATATATAGCATCCCCTAAAAAAACCATGAGAAGCCCAAGTTTGTATGCAAAGAATGATCTGGTGAGAAATCAAAGCTTTTTTGTCTGCTTTTTACTTTTTCATTTGAGAAGCAGAGCTGGGTAAAGACAAACAGAAACAGGCAGAGGGCTCCCACCTGCCCCTTAACTCTGTTACGGTCAGCAGCTGGCCTGCGGCTGACACTGGAAGCCCGACCCTGGGTGCAGGTCTCCTCTGTGGCGGCAGGAGCTCACCTGACTAAGCCACCACCACTGCCTCCCAGGGCCTGCATTAGCAGGAAGCTAGAGTCAGATGCCAAGACTGGGAATCGAACTCGTGTACTCTGGTATGGGAAGGAGGCATCCTCACCAGGGTTTTAACCACTGTGCTGAAGACTCCTACTTTTTTGGGTATTCTTTTTTTTTTCCTCCTACATTTTGACCATTTGTTTTGATGGTTAGTATGTACAGTTTCTGAATTAAATAGAGGAATTCTCTTTTTATGAAATTCACAAATAAGGGGGAAATCCTGGAAGGATGAGCCCAAAGGCAAGTCAAGTCCATCATGGGGATGCTAATGGTTAGGCACAGTGGGTCTCATGGTGCTTTTCTCCACATTTGCACATGTCCAGAAATTGACAAAACTTGAATGAATAAAGAATTCACCTAAGGCAGACCCAGAAAACACTAGGAAACCCTTGCTATTACCTATAGCAAGCACCCCACTTCACCATCCAATGCCCTAGAACCTCAAAATGTTATCAGCTATTGCCACATATTACTCACTTATAATAATTTGGCCCATGTATAGGGCCAATGTGGCATGGCAAGTAAAGCCACTCCCTGACATGTTGGCTTCCCATATCAGGGACACTGATGGATGTTTCCAGTTCACCTCTTACCTTCCAGCAGGCTACAAGCCCCACTAGGGCACATGCTGGCCGAGATGCAGGCGACAGGTGGCACAGCACACAGGTGGCAGAACAGTCCCAGGTAGGAGCCAGGTCACTGGCAAGCTGAGACAGAACATGAAGGCAAAGGACGGGCATGGACAGCATGGCATCCCCGGAAGACTAGCCTGGTCTTGTAGAAGATGTGGGAGGACTTGTACTTGCTCAAGGGCTCAGCTGTTTCCTTATCTGGCGCCTTCAAGCACTGTGTTTTCATCTTACTAATACAGTACCTTCATACAAGCAAATGCCACAACCTCCGGTATTTTGCTGCCATTGGTTGCCCTGACCCCATTTGCTTCCCCACCCACAACCAGCCCCGAGGTCTGTATCACACACACACAGAGCTGTGGTTACTATGGGAATTATCTGTGCAGTGTATGTCATGCACAAATAATCCCAAAGCAGGAAATGCCACATTTTATGATAGGTCTTCCTGTCCTATTCCCGGCCATACTTCTCTTCTGCCTCACGTTCAGGTGCTTACTGCAAAGCAATAACGACTGGAAAGCTATGTCACAGTTCATCCCCTTAACCTGTCTTCAGCCCTCAAGCACCCCAACCCTATCTTTCCAACCACAAGGTTTTCTCTTGATGCAATATCCTGAGAGCAGGTCCCCTTGCAGGTGGCAAGAGAACAGGATGTGTTCTCCATTGGAGAACAGAATGTGACCCAATGTTCCAGAGAAGCCCAAGCCATCTGAAGGCAAAGTTCAAGGACCACAACACTGGACTGAACAAAGGGTCAGAGGCCAGGAGGTAAGGGGACACCAGAGGGCATCAGCGAAGTAGCCAGAGATGGACAGGATGGCTCAGAATGTGGAGCAGAGGGAATGAGAGAGAACTGGACATGTGATGGGGCTCTTTCTGAGTGTCACCTGGACCATGTTCTATCCTGTGTCACCCAGGGCCATCTGCCTTGCTGTGGCGGAAGGTTCCAAGGGAAATTCCGTAACCTTGGATGTTGCTTCAGACCCACACCTCTTAACAGGCCAATATGCAAGCCCATGTTCCAGACCGTGAACAACCAAGGTGGCTCCCTGCTCCGGTTACAGACTTAGGATAATCTGACTCCCATCTTAGAGAATGAAGAAAGGAGAGCACAGGTTGCTTCCATTATTTTTGAATGAGCTTTCATGGGCTAAAACTAAGACATTTCAACTTAGACCCCAAATCTTAGCCTCTCCCATATCCACTGCTACAGAATCTGTACCTTGGTAGGATGGGGACGTCTTTCCTGCTAGGAATGCATCCCCACCCCCCACAAGTCAGTCATGTGAGACTCACAACCACTTTCCTCCAGACAAACAAGGTGATGAAATTGCAGGTGGATTGAGCAATTCATTCATTGTATCCCGTGGGGTGGACTGAGCACCCAGAGACATCCAGCAGCCCACTGGGCCATGGTGCCTGGGGACAGTCTTGTTGCCTGGACCATAAAAGTGCTGCAGCCCTTTCAGATTCAGCATCAGGGCCACTATGTGGGGTGAGGTAGAAAGAAAATGGATGCAAAATAATTTCTCACAAACACTTCCTCCTGAGGAGCCAGGCAGACGGTCTGTGCTGAGCAGCACCAAGGCAGTACTGGGATCCCCACATCCTGTGTAGGTCTGAATAGGACCCGTTTCTGACCCCTGAGGCTCCATCTAGCAAGCAGACTCTTGTCGCTGGTTTGATGAATGAAACCAGCCTTCGTGTTGGGAAAACATATGGTAATGAACTGTAAAGGAGGCCTAATGGAACTGCAAGGACCTCTAGGAATGGACGGCAGCCTCCAGGTCAGCTTCAGTCTTCCAGGAAATGGATGTGGCTAACAACCCCAGAACTGGGAAGTGGATCCCTCCCCAATGGAGCCTTCAGATGAGAATGAAGTCCTGGTCAAGACCAGCCTCAGAAGGCTCCAAGCACAGGGCCTAGCAGTCATGAAGACCTCTGACTCTCAAAACTATGAGAAAACAACACATACGTTGTCTCAAGCTGCAGTAGCAATGGATGACTAATACCTGGTCCAAACACACATTGACAAGTGAGTCTGCCCTCATTTGCTCATTAAATCTTCCAGGAGCTAAAACCCAGAGCTTTGATATTTCCTGGGTGCTCTGTTCCTATGGTGGGGTTAACTCATACTTTACTTGATACTATTATTTTTTGTTGTTGTTAAGGCTGCATTATTTGATGACAATTTCCTTCAAGGAGAAACAACATACATTAAATGGCTATTTCATTTTTTAAAAATTGTGCCTCTCTCTTGGGCTGTCATTTTACAAGTTCTAGGAGCTGCAAATAGGAGCCCCAGGTGGTGACTGCCCTGAGCATAAGAAGCAAGCCAGTGGCCCCTTACTTGCATTTCTCACCATCCTTCCATGCACCCATTTTTATTGTGCACCAACTATGCCCCCTCCCTCCTTCGGGGTGCTGAGGAAGACAGCAGCAAGAACTTTTTCTACACTGAAGAAGTTTTTCTTTCACTAAATATGTACCTAACACTAACATGAGAATGTTTCTGTTTCTCAAGGATTACGGGTCCCAACCTACAATGCCTCCAGCCACCCCTAGAACACCCTCCCACTCCACGCTGGCAAAGATCCAGTTTTACCCACTGTCTTTGGAAAGTGCACCTGCCAATTCTGCATCTCTCTTTTTGTCATTTACATGCCTGCAACAGCCACCTTCAAACAAGGCGCCTAACCTGCCCTCTGCCTCCAGGAACCTGGGAGTTCATGGGGAGCCCCCCTCCCACCCCAGGTTACTCACAGGCAGTCAAGGTCCCTGGTTCTGTACTCCACGAAGTCCTTCTGACGAAGGACTCAGTGTGGGCTGTGATTCTGATGATGAGGTCTTTCTTGATACGGCGATAACCTTGGGGTTAAGGCTAGGAATGGCTTCAAGCCGACTGCAGGAATGTGAGTGAGAGAGAGAGGGAAAAAGTCAGGTCAAGCTCACAATACAATCTTAGTGGGAAAAAAGGACCTCTATCATTTATTATGAATTACAGTGACAATAATAATGAAGCTCCTACACTCAGTAAATACTTTTTAAGTTTAAAGGAAAAATAACCAGAGCGATAATTTCCAATTATTTCTTTAGGGAACCACCCCCCTATGCCAAACCAAAATGAAAGAATCAGATACAAATGACCTGCTCTTACCTAAAGAACACTGGAGACCACCTGCATCTCTAGCCAGCCTGACCTCCTCATACCCATCCAGCAGCTCACCTGGAAGCTGCTGGTTACAGTGTGCCAACCAGGGACAAGCTACCAGAAACAGACTAAGTGCAAGGTAAAAGGTGACAGAGAGAGGAAAAGAAGCCAGAGGAAAAGCCCTGGAGCAGGAACAAACTTGGAACTGACCCCTGAGATCATGCAATATCAGCAGTCTAAAGCAAATGGGCAGCTTGGCACACCACTACCACCATGCTGCCACCATGCTGCTTGCCAGCCTGGGTGAGCCCGGGGCACAAGCACAGAGCATGGCGAGGCAGCACCCACTCAGGTATCCTATAGATAGATGCAAAGGACTAATGTGTTCTAGCACAGAAGGGAATGTCACCTGCTGTGGTGCTGACCAGCCAACCATACCTGGAACAGGACGTGAAGATTCAATGCCACCTCCTCACTGGTAATGCACCTGCTTCCTGGAGGAAGGTGTCCAAGGGTTCAGATGCGAACGTCAGACTCCTGGAAGGCAAAAAGAGCTGCCATCAGAGGTGCTCCCTTCCTGGGCCCTGGAGCCCCCAAGCATTCAGCCAGCACTGCAGCCCACAGGATACCCACAAACAGGCTCTCCTACTGCAACAAGGATGATCCAACAGCATCATTGCACAGATGATTTCTGCAAACCTAGGGCACAGGGATGACCCACGCAAGCTCAGAGCCCCTGCCATGGACCACAATGGGAGCGGATCCTTTCCTGACCCCAGTATTGGGCAGCAAGGTCACCAGAGGGTAGAAAACCTTAAGGAAACCTTAGCTGGTTCCTTTGGGAAAGTGCCAGACGCCAGTCTGCATCATTGGTCATCCTGCCCTGGACTTCACTTTCAATATATTAGGTAACACATGCACAGCCCTTCAAAAAGCATGCAGGAAACAGCATTAGTCATTTGTTTTTGTTTTAAAAAATCCATACACAGTATTTTCATAATCTGCGTTTTCCATGTATTTGTTGAAGACCTCCACTATCAGCACAGGGCATGTATGTACCTGCCTGTACACAACACAGTGCTCTGATGACGTGGATGGGGCCCAAGGTTGCACCAGCAGCAGGATATGGCACCTGGAGGAGCAGCCAGCGGTCCTGGAAGGAATGCAGTGGGAGGCCTGGATGCAGCACTGGCCAGGGGCTAGGACTGACAAGTGTGAGCACAGCCTGTAGGTGTGCTCTGGAGAACTTTCTGATGTGAGGCTTGGGAAGTCCTTTGTTTTCTGTCTTACTGCTTACATTCTGGGACTCACACACTCACCCAGGAACCAGTGACATTTGTAATTAAGCTGCCTGAATATGACTGGTGCCTCATATGACCCGAGGATTACCAACATGCCAGAAGTGCTCAGAAAGACGCTAGTGGCCAGTAAGAGCTATGTACCCTCCTGGCAACCTGCTGGATTCCCAGCCACTGGACTCTGATCCCTCCCCACCAATGCGGTACATCCACCCCATGCTAATATTTCATTCCACTCTCTATTTTTGAAAACATCCAAAGTGCCAGAAACGTTGAGTGAATACCTATTCTTCCCCTCCCCCACAGTTACCAACACTTAACACTTTGCTGCCTTTGCTTTGCTCCTTTAGAGAAATAATACTTTGCAAAGGAGCCACATATTTAAGTGAACTATAGTTGCCATGACATCTGACCTTTAGAAGTATTTCAGTAACTCCTGAGGACTCTGTCCCTGACAGCTGTAAGGCCACTGTCGCATCACAGACACCACATTAATTCCCTAACATCCAGATCCAGTCCCCAATTCCACGCCCCAAATGTTAGTGTATGGCTCCGTTTTGATTATCACAGGCAGTGGGAGCACAGAGGAGAATAACCGTTAACGAAGTCAGGTTCAGAATCCAGCAGGGACACAGACTTCCAGATGCTGACCGGATGCCAAAGTAATTGGTTCCTATGCCAGTTTGTTTCTTAGCAGGACAGGAAGCAGTTGGAGACTTCAGAAAAGGCTTTTTATATGGAGGTGAGGTTTGGAGGAAGGTGTTTACCCAAACACAAAGGAAGTCGGGGGTCTTTGGAAAGGGAAAACTAATTCCCAACATGCAGAGACTTGGTCCCCTAAGATGTCCCCATCTTAACGCCGGGACCCTGTGACCACTCCAGGACCCACGACCAGTTGGAAAGCAGATGCAGAAGGAATGAGGATGCTGGTGAACCGAGCTGGGGAGAAGGCCAGCTCCTGGGTGGGTCCCCTGTGACGGTGAGGATGCTGAGAGCATGGAGGAGGCAAAAGAGCTATGTCAGGTGCACAGGAGACAAGACCCCGCCACCCACTGCTGGCTTCACACGTGTTTGGGGACCACCAGCCAAAAGGGCAGGTAGCCTCTGGGAGCAGGGGAAGGGCAAGGAGGCAGAATGTCCCTCACGCCTCCCTGCCCACACCTTGCCCAGAACCCATTCCGAACTTCCCTCCTCTGGGATTGTGCGATCACATTATGCTATTTTAACTCAGAAAACCAAACCAAACAACCACCAAGAAGTAGAGGCTGGACAGAGGGCTGGAAGCTATCAGAGTGCTGAGCATACATTCTTCAGTGCCTGTGAGGAAGCCAACCAAGCTCAACTTTATTCTTTTTTTTTTAAGTTTTTTTTTCCCCAAAGTCAGATACACAGGGAGGAGGAGAGCCAGAGAGAAAGATCTTCCATCCGATGATTCACTCCCCAAGTGACTGCAATGGCTGGTACTGTGCCGATCCGAAGCCAGGAGCTCTTCCGGGTCTCCCACATGAGTGCAGGGTCCCGAGGCTTTGGGTTGTCCTCAACTGCTTTCCCAGGACTCAGGCAGGGAGCTGGGTGGGAAGCGGGGCCGCTGGGATTAGAACTGGTGCCCATATGGGATCCCGGCGCGCTCAAGGTGAGGACTTTAGCCGCTAGGCCACTGCGCTAGGCCCTGAACTTTATTCTTAAGGTGAGGGAAGAGGGCCAAAAGCCATGAGCAGGATCTGTTCCTTAGGAAGATGATTCTGGAAAAGGCCCTTGTGGCCATTTGTGGATGGATGAGCGCTCTCTCTCTTGCTCTCTCTCTTCCTATCTCTCTACAACTCTTTCAAGTAAAATAAAATAAATCTTTAAAAAATTTATTCATATGGTTTCAGATTCTGAGTGGAACAGCTACCACCTGTCAAGCTGATTGAATCGATATGAACACTCACAGCTAACAGAAAATGCTATTGAAGATATTTCACCTAAAATGTAACAAACTGATTGAATACAGAAAAAATAAGAATCCAGCTGCCTTCAATTAAATATTAGAGATGTATACATTAAAAAACAATGCCATTTTAATTGCATTTTGTTTTGCAAAACAGCTATTTTTCATTGTAATTTCTTTTATGTTAACTAAACTGAGCTTATCACTGTTATGACCACAATAGCTGGAGTTGAGCTGATCTGAAGCAAGGAGCTCAGAGCTTCTTCCTGATCTCCATATGGGTGCAGGGGCCCAAGAGCACCTGCTCTCCCAGGTACATTAGCAGGAAGCTAGATTGGAAGAGAAGCGAACAGGACACAAACCAGTACCCATAGGGAATGAATACCAGCACTACAGGCAGAGGCTTAACCTCCTACGCCATGGCACCAGTCCTTCTAAATGTCTGTTTCTAATGGAAAAAAAAAAAAAGCCTGGTAGATCCCACCCCCATCACCCAGAGCTCCTGAGCGTCCCTAGGAATGAACTGTGCAGACAGGAAGGAAGGGGGGTTCTGAGAGCATTTTTGAATCACAGCCTGAAGGAATGAAGGCTGCCAAGCCTGGTATCTTGGCCCACATTAGAAAGGCTGCACTCCCGCTCCACTAGGCTTGAACTAAGCAGCATGCCATGGTGATTCTGGCTCTAGTCACACTCTCCCGTCATGGCATGACAGCGGTTAATGCTCAACTTACAAGTCTAACGAAAAGCATGCCACACGTTAATCCAGGACGATCTCATCAGGATGAACAGGGCTGGAATGCACAGCGAAGAAATGCATGAGAAGTGCATTTCTTAAATCCAGGAATGCTCCAGGCGGCTCAGGTTAACTTTACAGATTTAAAAATTCCTTTGTTAGCAAAGAGTAGTGAAAGTGCTGTCTATACACCTCATGTCTTAAGAATTCAGTTTCATTTGTCTCCTAAAAACGGCCAGCAGCATTCCAGTACTTGCTCGAGCTTCCAGAAGTATATGGAGATTGCCAAAACGGGATTGTGACCCCAGGCAGCTACACCGTAACATGTTCAGAGCAAGCACCTGGCACAGCAAGAGAACTGACATACATAAAATCACCATTTTCAGTCCAAAGGAGTCAGATCCTTCCATTACATTCAGTGCCTTCTGATTTCATGTCTTCATTCCCAACTTGCATATCTGCTTTGCCCGTGGCTGAGTTCTGACTCTACGTTTCATTCAACAAAGCTGTATTAAATGTAAGGAGAGTTCTGGAACCTGGAAATGCAAGAGTGACTTGACTTACCTGGGCCAAACTCCCACTCTCTGTGGCATTTATGCTATATTGCTGGGAATATTTCTTCTAAAGAAAGGATGCAACATTAACTGGACGTAACACACTTTGGATCTCCCACAGCAACTACGATAGATCCTGAAAAAGAAAACATACGCTAATTACACAAGAAGGGCAGATCTTCTGGTTCTTGGCACCCAGAGCTAAGGAATGAAGCCTGCTACCTGCAACCATATTCCCAGGCCATCTGCGAACTCAGGTTAAGTCTACAGACTTTCACTTCGCTCAATGACTTTGGTAAGGGGTGAGTGGTTAGCCTGGTGGTTTAAATGCCAGTTAAGGTGGCCACGTGTCATGTTCAAGTGTCTGGGTTTAAAACCCAGTTTCTGCTCCTAACTTCAACTTCCTGCCATGGAGGTAGCAAAAGATGGTTCCAGTCGCTGGGTCCCACCCACATGAGTGGGAGACTGAAATATCGAGTTTGCAGCTCCTGGCTTTGGACCAGCGTAGTCATGGCTGTTGTTATATGCGGATTGACAGTGGATGTAAAGTGAGGTCCCCTGGGATGCCCAAGCACAGCCAAGAGACCTCTCAAAGGAGCAGGGTGGGTGTGTGTGTGTGTGTGTGTGTGTGTGTGTGTGTGTGTGTGTGTGTACGCATAGGCACACATGCACTAAAACTTTGTAAAGGCAAGCTCCATTTTTGACAGTTTGCTAACTCCAAGTTCAATTTTTCTCTAAGCATGAACACGGTTTTAAAGTTCTTGTTGGTCTGTTATGTAAGCTAAGAAGAAACAGAGGCTTAGAGGCTGTTCCAGGAACAAGGAAGATGGACAAGCCCTCTCTGCAGTCCCATGAAACTCACCAAAGAACCCAAAACCCTCCTTCCTTCCTTCTGAACTTAGCCTGCAGTGTGGTCCCTGCCAGGATGGTATCGAGAAGTGCCTGTCCTGTGGCTTGCCCTTGTCAACCCTCTAAGGGCTTCCTGGGCCATGGAGCCTAGACAGGCTTCCCTCTCTCCTTCAGCCTTCCAATCTCAATCAAACACATTTTAATCTTATTGGGAAGAAATATACTGGAAGTCACATCCTCACGAGGGGCAGAGGGGACAGTGTTACACACCAAAACCTGTGCACATATTATGTCATGTTCCCTCGTACTCCCCGTTGACCACAGCCAAGGTCCACAGCTGGGTCACAGCAGGTGGCAGTCCCCACTGGTTCCTCAACAACATGACCGTCTCCCGCTCACCGGGACCAGATTGTCCAGCTGCTACTGGATGGAGGTGTGTGGTCTCATTCAGTACTCAAACCATGCCTGCTCAGACATCCACCCCAACATAGGGAAAAGGCCACTGTGGGAAGCGAGTATAACGCATTCAGTGGATCTCGCTCCCAATGCATGCTGTTGTGTTTGCTGCTTCTCTAGCTCCGCATAGGTACCCTGGGGCCATGGGCCACAACATGATTACAGCAGAGTTTAATTACACATGAGCCTGCTCCTCCCACCTGACAAATACAGCAAGATGTGCGGGCACATGTCAGCAAAGCTTCTAAACATGACTTTGGTTTTAATCACCGCTCATCCAGGAAGGAGCTGAATGCACTTGGGGCAGATTATTCCCCATCTTACTTCCCTCACTTCTCCAAAAAGGAAACCACCACTAAACTCACAGAATTGTTTTAGGGACAGAGAGCAGAAAAGCAAATAAATACAGTAGACTCTTTTTAAAGTAAAGACACACTGAGAGATTTTTCTCTGGGTAAATGATGAAATTCCAAGAACACTTTCTCTTCATTTCATCCTGCACCAGCTGCCGGCTGGCATTGGGGAATTTCTCTAACCAAACAGCAAAGTGTAACCAAGGGAAAAATGCTATTTAAAACAAACAAACAAAACTTTTCTAGTTACAGGCAAGAACTGTCTGATGGGTGAATAATCAGCTCTTAACTGTGTGGTTTGTCTCAATATTTTCGGGTAGCCTGGGGCACTCCTCCTGAACGTACAAATTCACAGCTTCCTCCTGCCAGAACACATCTGCTCCATGGTCATTTCCAGCCCTGTGATGGTGTCCCCTAAAAGCACACAACTGGTGGTGGCCTTAATTGTCCATCTCCTGTGACTCAGCAAATATCTCCAGCCCCTTATACACAGAATCCCCTGTGCCATTGGGCCCACGTGGATCTATTGTTCTACCGGGAAAGCAACCCTGGTGCATCTCTCTGTACCTTGCAGTGAGGCTTGGGAAGGAAGCCCACTTCCCACACACCCAGGAGGTGGTGGTGGTGGGGTCTCCCCAGGGTGTGGGTCACATGGCATTTGCTGGTTCACCGCTTCTAGTTCCCAGGCACTTGCTGGGCACTCTTGCCCAGCATATTCAAAAACAGTCACATGTATGCAGAGGGGAGGCCTAGGAGTCTGGGCCAAAAATCCATCCCTATATTCAGGCCTCATCACTCCCAGAAGGCAATGGGTTCACTCATCACTTGGCTAACTCTTGGCCAAATCACAGCCAAAGTCTCTTCTCCTTTCTAAGACCAGAGAGACTATGCTCACTGTGCCATCAAAACCTAAAACAAGGATGGGGGTGAGAACTGCCCATCGTGGATGGAAACAATGCTACTGAACTACATGTTTAAAAATAATTGCATCAGTTCCCAAACACAATTCAAATGAAACCAAGAGGATTCCTCAAGAAGTTAAACAGAGGTACAACATGCATGACCCAGCAATCCCACTCGTAGGTATGTTCCCAAGACAAGATGAAAATCTGCATCCAGACAAAAATCTGAGGCCAAAAAGACAGAAGCAACCCGACTATCATCCACTGATGAATGAGCAGACAAAATGCAACAAACACATGCTGGAATATAATTCAGCCACGAAAAGGGATGAACCCTGGATCTTGAAGACCTGAAGCTAAATGAAAGAAGCTAGTCCCCAAAAGCCACATGTCATGCTTTTCCATTTACATGAAATGTCTCAAAAAAATAGAGATGGAAAGGATTTAGTGGTGGTCTTGGACTAAGGTAGGGATGAGGGGAAGAAATGAAGAATGAGGACTTAGGGAGCAGGGTTCCACTGAGCGTGGTAAAAACACACCCAGACTGTAGCAATGGCTACATGAACCACGGCTGTACTAAAACCCACAATCCACACTTCAAATGGATGAACCTTGGGGAATGCAAACTCTAGGCAGTGAGGAGGAGCCCACTTCACAAGGACCAAAGTATAACGCTTCCACTAACCATGCCCAGAGTGACTCAACAATTTCTACACCAATTCACTTGCTCCAGATGTATTCCCCTCCACACACTTTAATTCTGCTTCAGGTCAAACCTCCACCACCCCCACACCTCCTCATATCAACAATTACAACAATCAGGCTGCGGCTGATAAAAGCTTTCTGCTTGCACACACCATATATTATATGCAATATTCACTTTGTTTTGAGAGCTCCGTGAAATTAGCTCCTGTTTAATAAGCCCTCCCTCCCTGCCAGGCTGCTCCATCTTTTACAGTTCTGTGACTGTGAACACAAGCTCCAGTTTTAATATGCAGTTTAAATATTTAACGGTGGCAGGACATAGAATAACAAACTTGAGGACTGCAGCACTTGTGGGTTTAAAAAGCGCAATGTGCGTAGATGGCAGCCTTTGGCTCCTAACAGGATGAGGTCGGGGGAGGGCAGGACCAAGCCCTCCCCCTTGTGTGTGTACACAGTCCAGGCGCTCAATGGGAGCATAAGGTAAAACCCCATCAGGGTTTGGTATCATCTTTAACATGTAAATGTTTTAAGCAATTAAAAAGGGGCAGAATATTCCTGACACTCTGTATTGAAGTGCTAAATTTTAAATACCTGCTTATGTTAGTTTGCAATACCGTGCCGTTAGAAATTATTTTAGAGGGAGGCTGCTTTGTTCCTTTTCAGGTGAGTGACTGCATTCCCGCCACTTGGAAGAAGGTCCTGCATACTGTTTTTGAAATTAATACTAGAGAACCAAGGGTACAAACAGATTCAGGAAATAATAAAACACGGTCAATACTTAAGAAACGAAAAAAGGCTGGAGTAGATGTTGAGCTTCGCAGCTGAGATGCCATTTGGAATGCCTGCATCTGGGCTCTGCGGATGTGCATCCTGGGAGGCAGCAGTGATGCTGCCTGCCCACACGACAGGTCACGTCACAGTCCCCAGCTCCTGGCTTTCCCTGCCTGGCCTAGCCCCAGCTGTGGCAGGCCTTTGGGGAACGACCCATCACACGATGCGTGTATCGTGTGTGTCTCTGTCTCTCTTTCTTTCTGATCTTCCTACACCCGCCACTTCAAGTAAATAAAATGAACTACAAATTCTTAAAAAAGATGCCCGAATCCTGCACTGAAGTACCTGGCTTTGATTTGTGGCTCCAGCTCCTAATTCCAACTCCCTGTTCAGTGCACACCCTAGGAAGCAGCCGTGGAGACCCAAGCAGTCAAGTTCCTACTAAACATAGGAGACCTGCTTTGGAGTTGGCGGATCCCAGCTCTGGTCAGCCAAGCCCAGCAATGACTGCCAGGCACAAGCACATGTAAGCATTCTTACTTGCTCACTCTCAAATACATTAATTTTTTAAAAATTAAAAAGGGTAAACTGTGCCTTTCCCTCAGTTCAGCGCATTGCCTAAAGCTATCACAGGTACACCAAGGCAAAGAAGTTCCTAGACAAGGCCAGCACAACGGCTCAACCGGCAAATCCTCTGCCTGCAAGCACCAGGATCCCACATAGGCGCCTATTTGAGTCCCAGATGCTCCACTTCCCATCCAGCTCCCTGCTTATGGTCTGAGAAAGAAGCAGAAAATGGCTCAAAGCCTTGGAAACCTGCACTCACATGAGAGACCCCCAGGGGACTCCTGGCTTTGGATCAGCTCAGCTCTGCCCACTGTGGCCATCTGAGGATGGAAGATTTTCTGTCTCTCTTCTATAAATCTGCCTAATACAAATCAATATAAATCTGAAAAAAATGAAACGGGGGCGGGGGGGTGCCAGGCTGGGAAAAGGCATGCCCAGTTCCATGAGTGGCAGGCGACTTCAGGGCTACTCCTCACCGTGCATGTTTTGAACACCTACAGGACTGGGGCACAGCCTTCGTCTGCCTAGGCACACCTAACAGGATAAGCTTCTGCAACACTCCTGGGCATTTACAAGCCGCTGGGCACAAGCCCACACGGGCGGCTGTGAACCCGGCCCTTCCCTCCCACAGGTGGTTTCGCTTGGTGGCTCCAAGGAACTCTGTGAAAAGAAATGAGCCTTGGACTTGGCCTAGCCTGTGAGAGCAGCTTGGGTTCAGTGAGGAAGTGGCCTGTGCCAGCTGTAATTACCAACGAGGATTAAGCAAGCACTGGCGGGTCATGGTCTCTGGATCTCCATGCTGTTTTTCTAGACACACAATGATGTGTCCTTCTGGGACTGAATCACCACCTGCACCACTGCAGGTGCGC